TGGATCTGTTACAGGAATAACGACACTACCGCCCACCAGTAAAAAAACTATGCCAGAATCTACTACAGAGATACCAACCCCTGAGGCAACAATGACAACAACACCTGAAGCTACCACAAATCTACTAACACCTCAATCTACCACAAACAATGCAATACATGATTCTACTGCAAGAATTAATACAGACGGATCCTCCACAGGTATAACAACATCTGATTCAACACAATGGATAACAAACATAGAATCTACCGCAGCAACTACATTAACCGAGTCTTCCATGGAGATGACATCACTTGAAGCTACACCAATGATGACTGTGCAAGAAACTATGTCAACATTAGCAACACCTGAATCTAACACTGCAATAAAAACAGCACCTGAATCTAGTGTAGAAATATCATCAATTGAAACTACCACTGATATAACAAAACTTGACTCATCTATACAAACTGAATCTATTACAGGAATAACGAACCTACTGACCACCAGTCACAAAACTATGCCAGAATCTACTACAGAGATACCAACACCTCAGGCTACAATGACAACAACACCTGAAGCTACCACGAATCTACTAACACCTGAATCTACCACAAACAATGCAATACATGATTCTACTGCAAGGATAAATACAGACGGATCCTCCACAGGTATAACAACATATGATTCAACACAATGGATAACAAACTTAGAATCTACCGCAGCAACTACATTAACCGAGTCTTCCATAAAGATAACATCACTTGAAACTACACCATTGATGACTGTGCAAGAAACTATGTCGACATTAGCAACACCTGAATCTAACACGCCAATAGAAACAGCACCTGAATCTACAGTAGCAATATTATCAATTGAAACTACCACTGATATAACAAAACTTGACTCATCTATACAAACTGAATCTATTACAGGAATAACGACACTACCGCCCACCAGTCACATAACTACGCCAGAATCTACTGCAGAGATACCAACACCTCAGGCTACAATGATATCAACACCTGAAGCTACCACGAATCTACTAACACCTGAATCTACCACAAACAATGCAATACATGATTCTACTGCAAGGATTAATGCAGACGGATCCTCCACAGGTATAACAACATCTGATTCAACACAAAGGATAACAAACTTAGAATCTACCGCAGCAACTACATTAACCGAGTCTTCCATAGAGATGACATCACTTGAAGCTACACCAATGATGACTGCGCAAGAAACTATGTCAACATTAGCAACTCCTGAATCTAACTCTGGAACAAAAACAGCACCTGAATCTACTGTAGAAATGTCATTAATTGAAGGTACAACTGATATAACAATACTTGACTCATCTATAAAAACTGAATCTATTACAGGAATAACGACACTACCGCCCACCAGTCACATAACTATGCCAGAATCTACTGCAGAGATACCAACACCTCAGGCTACAATGATATCAACACCTGAAGCTACCACGAATCTACTAACACCTGAATCTACCACAAACAATGCAATACATGATTCTACTGCAAGGATAAATACAGACGGATCTTCCACAGGAATAACAACATATGATTCAACACAATGGATAACAAACTTAGAATCTACCGCATCAACTACATTAACCGAGTCTTCCATAGATATGACATCACTTGAAACTACACCAATGATGTCTGTGCAAGAAACTATGTCGACATTAGCAACACCTGAATCTAACACGGCAATAACAACAGCACCTGAATCTACAGTAGCAATATCATCTATTGAAACTACCACTGATATAACAAAACTTGACTCATCTATACAAACTGAATCTATTACAGGAATAACGACACTACCACCCACCAGTCACATAACTATGCCAGAATCTACTGCAGTGATACCAACACCTCAGGCTACAATGATATCAACACCTGAAGCTACCACGAATCTACTAACACCTGAATCTACCACAAACAATGCAATACATGATTCTACTGCAAGGATTAATGCAGACGGATCCTCCACAGGTATAACAACATCTGATTCAACACAAAGGATAACAAACTTAGAATCTACCGCAGCAACTACATTAACCGAGTCTTCCATAGAGATGACATCACTTGAAGCTACACCAATGATGACTGTGCAAGAAACTTATGTCAACATTAGCAACTCCTGAATCTAACTCTGGAATAGAAACAGCACCTGAATCTAGTGTAGAAATATCATCAATTGAAACTACCACTGATATAACAAAACTTGACTCATCTATACAAACTGAATCTATTACAGGAATAACGAACCTACTGCCCACCAGTCACATAACTATGCCAGAATCTACTGCAGAGATACCAACACCTCAGGCTACAATGATATCAACACCTGAAGCTACCACGAATCTACTAACACCTGAATCTACCACAAACAATGCAATACATGATTCAACTGCAAGGATAAATACAGATGGATCTTCCACAGGAATAACAACATATGATTCAACACAATGGATAACAAACTTAGAATCTACCGCATCAACTACATTAACCGAGTCTTCCTTAGATATGACATCACTTGAAACTACACCAATGATGTCTGTGCAAGAAACTATGTCGACATTAGCAACACCTGAATCTAACACGGCAATAACAACAGCACCTGAATCTACAGTAGCAATACTAACACCTGAATCTACCACAAACAATGCAATACATGATTCTACTGCAAGGATAAATACAGACGGATCCTCCACAGGTATAACAACATATGATTCAACACAATGGATAACAAACTTAGAATCTACCGCAGCAACTACATTAACCGAGTCTTCCATAGAGATGACATCACTTGAAACTTCACCAATGATGACTGTGCAAGAAACTATGTCAACATTAGCAACTCCTGAATCTAACTCTGGAATAGAAACAGCACCTGAATCTAGTGTAGAAATATCATCAATTGAAACTACCACTGATATAACAACACTTGACTCATCTATACAAACTGAATCTATTACAGGAATAACGAACCTACTGCCCACCAGTCACATAACTATGCCAGAATCTACTGCAGAGATACCAACACCTCAGGCTACAATGATATCAACACCTGAAGCTACCACGAATCTACTAACACCTGAATCTACCACAAACAATGCAATACATGATTCTACTGCAAGGATTAATGCAGACGGATCCTCCACAGGTATAACAACATCTGATTCAACACAAAGGATAACAAACTTAGAATCTACCGCAGCAACTACATTAACCGAGTCTTCCATAGAGATGACATCACTTGAAGCTACACCAATGATGACTGTACAAGAAACTATGTCAACATTAGCAACACCTGAATCTAACTCTGGAACAAAAACAGCACCTGAATCTACTGTAGAAATGTCATCAATTGAAGGTACAACTGATATAACAATACTTGACTCATCTATAAAAACTGAATCTATTACAGGAATAACGACACTACCGCCCACCAGTCACATAACTATGCCAGAATCTACTGCAGAGATACCAACACCTCAGGCTACAATGATATCAACACCTGAAGCTACCACGAATCTACTAACACCTAAATCTACCACAAACAATGCAATACATGATTCTACTGCAAGGATAAATACAGACGGATCTTCCACAGGAATAACAACATATGATTCAACACAATGGATAACAAACTTAGAATCTACCACATCAACTACATTAACCGAGTCTTCCTTAGATATGACATCACTTGAAACTACACCAATGATGTCTGTGCAAGAAACTATGTCGACATTAGCAACACCTGAATCTAACACGGCAATAACAACAGCACCTGAATCTACAGTAGCAATATCATCAATTGAAACTACCACTGATATAACAAAACTTGACTCATCTATACAAACTGAATCTATTACAGGAATAACGACACTACCACCCACCAGTCACATAACTATGCCAGAATCTACTGCAGTGATACCAACACCTCAGGCTACAATGATATCAACACCTGAAGCTACCACGAATCTACTAACACCTGAATCTACCACAAACAATGCAATACATGATTCTACTGCAAGGATAAATACAGACGGATCTTCCACAGGAATAACAACATATGATTCAACACAATGGATAACAAACTTAGAATCTACCGCATCGACTACATTAACCGAGTCTTCCATAGATATGACATCACTTGAAACTACACCAATGATGTCTGTGCGAGAAACTATGTCGACATTAGCAACACCTGAATCTAACACGACAATAACAACAGCACCTGAATCTACAGTAGCAATATCATCAATTGAAACTACCACTGATATAACAAAACTTGACTCATCTATACAAACTGAATCTATTACAGGAATAACGACACTACCACCCACCAGTCACATAACTATGCCAGAATCTACTGCAGTGATACCAACACCTCAGGCTACAATGATATCAACACCTGAAGCTACCACGAATCTACTAACACCTGAATCTACCACAAACAATGCAATACATGATTCTACTGCAAGGATTAATGCAGACGGATCCTCCACAGGTATAACAACATCTGATTCAACACAAAGGATAACAAACTTAGAATCTAGCGCAGCAACTACATTAACCGAGTCTTCCATAGAGATGACATCACTTGAAGCTACACCAATGATGACTGTGCAAGAAACTATGTCAACATTAGCAACTCCTGAATCTAACTCTGGAATAGAAACAGCACCTGAATCTAGTGTAGAAATATCATCAATTGAAACTACCACTGATATAACAAAACTTGACTCATCTATACAAACTGAATCTATTACAGGAATAACGAACCTACTGCCCACCAGTCACATAACTATGCCAGAATCTACTGCAGAGATACCAACACCTCAGGCTACAATGATATCAACACCTGAAGCTACCACGAATCTACTAACACCTGAATCTACCACAAACAATGCAATACATGATTCTACAGCAAGGATTAATGCAGACGGATCCTCCACAGGTATAACAACATCTGATTCAACACAAAGGATAACAAACTTAGAATCTACCGCAGCAACTACATTAACCGAGTCTTCCATAGAGATGACATCACTTGAAGCTACACCAATGATGACTGTGCAAGAAACTATGTCAACATTAGCAACACCTGAATCTAACTCTGGAACAAAAACAGCACCTGAATCTACTGTAGAAATGTCATCAATTGAAGGTACAACTGATATAACAATACTTGACTCATCTATAAAAACTGAATCTATTACAGGAATAACGACACTACCGCCCACCAGTCACATAACTATGCCAGAATCTACTGCAGAGATACCAACACCTCAGGCTTCAATGATATCAACACCTGAAGCTACCACGAATCTACTAACACCTAAATCTACCACAAACAATGCAATACATGATTCTACTGCAAGGATAAATACAGACGGATCTTCCACAGGAATAACAACATATGATTCAACACAATGGATAACAAACATAGAATCTACCGCATCAACTACATTAACCGAGTCTTCCATAGATATGACATCACTTGAAACTACACCAATGATGTCTGTGCAAGAAACTATGTCGACATTAGCAACACCTGAATTTAACACGGCAATAACAACAGCACCTGAATCTACAGTAGCAATATCATCAATTGAAACTACCACTGATATAACAAAACTTGACTCATCTATACAAACTGAATCTATTACAGGAATAACGACACTACAACCCACCAGTCACATAACTATGCCAGAATCTACTACAGAGATACCAACACCTCAGGCTACAATGACAACAGCACCTGAAGCTACCACAAATCTACTAACACCTGAATCTACCACAAACAATACAATACATGATTCTACTGCAAGGATAAGTACAGACGGATCCTCCACAGGTATAACAACATATGATTCAACACAATGGATAACAAACTTAGAATCTACCGCAGCAACTACATTAACCGAGTCTTCCATAAAGATAACATCACTTGAAACTACACTAATGATGACTGTGCCAAAAACTATGTCAACATTAGCAACACCTAAATCTAACTCTGGAATAGAAACAGCACCTGAATCTAGTGTAGAAATATCATCAATTGAAACTACCACTGATATAACAAAACTTGACTCATCCATACAAACTGAATCTATTACAGGAATAACGAACCTACTGCCCACCAGTCACATAACTATGCCAGAATCTACTACAGAGATACCAACCCCTCAGGCTACAATGACAACAACACCTGAAGCTACCACAAATCTACTAACACCTGAATCTACCACAAACAATGCAATACATGATTCTACTGCAAGGATTAATACAGACGGATCCTCCACAGGTATAACAACATCTGATTCAACACAATGGATAACAAACTTAGAATCTACCGCAGCAACTACATTGACTGAGTCTTCCATAGAGATGACATCACTTGAAGCTACACCAATGATGACTGTGCAAGAAACTATGTCAACATTAGCAACACCTGAATCTAACACTGCAATAACAACAGCACCTGAATCTAGTGTAGAAATATCATCAATTGAAACTACCACTGATATAACAAAACTTGACTCATCTATACAAACTGAATCTATTACAGGAATAACGACACTGCCGCCCACCAGTCACATAACTATGCCAGAATCTAATACAGAGATACCAACACCTCAGGCTACAATGACAACAACACCTGAAGCTACCACAAATCTAATAACACCTGAATCTACCACAAACAATGCAATACATGATTCTACTGCAAGGATAAATACAGACGGATCCTCCACAGGTATAACAACATATGATTCAACACAATGGATAACAAACTTAGAATCTACCGCAGCAACTACATTAACCGAGTCTTCCATAGAGATGACATCACTTGAAACTACACAAATGATGACTGTGCAAGAAACTATGTCAACATTAGCAACTCCTGAATCTAACTCTGGAACAAAAACAGCACCTGAATCTACTGTAGAAATGTCATCAATTGAAACTACCACTGATATAACAAAACTTGACTCATCTATACAAACTGAATCTATTACAGGAATAACGACACTACCGCCCACCAGTCACATAACTATGCCAGAATCTACTACAGAGATACCAACACCTCATGGTACAATGATAACAACACCTGAATCTACCACAAATCTACTAACACCTGAATCTACCACAAACAATGCAATATATGATTCTACTGCAAGGATTAATACAGACGGATCCTCCACAGGTATAACAACATCTGATTCAACACAATGGATAACAAACTTAGAATCTACCGCAGCAACTACATTAACCGAGTCTTCCATAGAGATGACATCACTTGAAGCTACACCAATGATGACTGTGCAAGAAACTATGTCAACATTAGAATCTCCTGAATCTAACTCTGGAACAAAAACAGCACCTGAATCTACTGTAGAAATGTCATCAATTGAAACTACCACTGATATAACAAAACTTGACTCATCTATACAAACTGAATCTATTACAGGAATAACGACACTACCGCCCACCAGTCACATAACTATGCCAGAATCTACTACAGAGATACCAACACCTCAGGGTACAATGATAACAACACCTGAATCTACCACAAATCTACTAACACCTGAATCTACCACAAACAATGCAATACATGATTCTACTGCAAGGATTAATACAGACGGATCCTCCACAGGTATAACAACATCTGATTCAACACAATGGATAACAAACTTAGAATCTACCGCAGCAACTACATTAACCGAGTCTTCCATAGAGATGACATCACTTGAAGCTACACCAGTGACGACTGTGCAAGAAACTATGTCAACATTAGCAACACCTGAATCTAACTCTGGAACAAAAACAGTACCTGAATCTACTGTAGAAATATCATCAATTGAAACTACCACTGATATAACAAAACTTGACTCATCTATACAAACTGAATCTATTACAGGAATAACGACACTACCGCCCACCAGTAACAAAACTATGCCAGAATCTACTACAGAGATACCAACACTCAGGCTACAATGATATCAACACTGAAGCTACCACGAATCTACTAACACCTGAATCTACCACAAACAATGCAATACATGATTCTACTGCAAGGATAAATACAGACGGATTCTCCACAGGTATAACAACATCTGATTCAACACAATGGATAACAAACTTAGAATCTACCGCAGCAACTACATTAACCGAGTCTTCCATAGAGATGACATCACTTGAAGCTACACCAATGATGACTGTGCAAGAAACTATGTCAACATTAGCAACTCCTGAATCTAACTCTGGAACAAAAACAGCACCTGAATCTACTGTAGAAATGTCATCAATTGAAACTACCACTGATATAACAAAACTTGACTCATCTATACAAACTGAATCTATTACAGGAATAACGACACTACCGCCCACCAGTCACATAACTATGCCAGAATCTAATACAGAGACAACAACACCTCAGGCTACAATGACAACAACACCTGAAGCTACCACAAATCTACTAACACCTGAATCTACCACAAATAATGCAATACATGATTCTACTGCAAGGATTAATACAGACGGATCCTCCACAGGTATAACAACATCTGATTCAACACAATGGATAACAAACTTAGAAACTACCGCAGCAACTACATTAACCGAGTCTTCCATAGAGATGACATCACTTGAAGCTACACCAATGATGACTGTGCAAGAAACTATGTCAACATTAGCAACACATGAATCTAACTCTGGAACAAAAACAGCACCTGAATCTACTGTAGAAATATCATCAATTGAAACTACCACTGATATAACAAAACTTGACTCATCTATACAAACTGAATCTATTACAGGAATAACGACACTACCGCCCACCAGTCACATAACTATGCCAGAATCTACTACAGAGATACCAACACCTCAGGCTACAATGAGAACAACACATGAAGCTACCACGAATCTACTAACACCTGAATCTACCACAGACAATGCAATACATGATTCTACTGCAAGGATTAATACAGACGGATCCTCCACAATTATAACAACATATGATTCAACACAATGGATAACAAACTTAGAATCTACCGCAGCAACTACATTAACCGAGTCTTCCATAGAGATGACATCACTTGAAGCTACACCAATGATGACTGTGCAAGAAACTATGTCAACATTAGCAACACCTGAATCTAACTCTGGAACAAAAACAGCACCTGAATCTACTGTAGAAATATCATCAATTGAAACTACCACTGATATAACAAAACTTGACTCATCTATACAAACTGAATCTATTACAGGAATAACGACACTACCGCCCACCAGTTATATAACTATGCCAGAATCTAATACAGAGATACCAACACCTCAGGCTACAATGACAACAACACCTGAAGCTACCACAAATCTACTAACACCTGAATCTACCACAAACAATGCAATACATGATTCTACTGCAAGGATAAACACAGACGGATCCTCCACAGGTATAACAACATATGATTCAACACAATGGATAACAAACTTAGAATCTACCGCAGCAACTACATTAACCGAGTCTTCCATAGAGATGACATCACTTGAAACTACACCAATGATGACTGTGCAAAAAAATATGTCAACATTAGCAACTCCTGAATCTAACTCTGGAACAAAAACAGCACCTGAATCTACTGTAGAAATATCATCAATGGAAACTACCACTGATATAACAAAACTTGACTCATCTATACAAACTGAATCTATTACAGGAATAACGACACTATCGCCCACCAGTCACATAACTATGCCAGAATCTACTACAGAGATACCAACACCACAGGCTACAATGACAACAACACCTGAAGCTAACACGAATCTACTAACACCTGAATCTACCACAAACAATGCAATACATGATTCTACTGCAAGGATAAATACTGACGGATCCTCAACAGGTATAACAACATCTGATTCAACACAATGGATAACAAACTTAGAATCTACTGCAGCAACTACATTAACCGAGTCTTCCATAAAGATAACATCACTTGAAATTACACCAATGATGACTGTGCAAGAAACTATGTCGACATTAGCAACACCTGAATCTAACACGGCAATAGAAACAGCACCTGAATCTACAGTAGAAATATCATCAATTGAAACTACCACTGATATAACAAAACTTGACTCATCTATGCAAACTGAATCTATTACAGGAATAACGAACCTACTGCCCACCAGTCACAAAACTATGCCAGAATTTACTACAGAGATACTAACCCCTCAGGCTACAATGACAACAACACCTGAAGCTACCACAAATCTACTAACACTTGAATCTACCACAAACAATGCAATACATGATTCTACTGCAAGGATTAATACAGACGGATCCTCCACAGGTATAACAACATATGATTCAACACAATGGATAACAAACTTGGAATCTACCGCAGCAACTACATTAACCGAGTCTTCCATAAAGATAACATCACTTGAAACTACACCAATGATGACTGTGCAAGAAACTATGTCAACATTAGCAACACCTAAATCTAACTCTGGAATAGAAACAGCACCTGAATCTAGTGTAGAAATATCATCAATTGAAACTACCACTGATATAACAAAACTTGACTCATCTATACAAACTGAATCTATTACAGGAATAACGAACCTACTGCCCACCAGTCACATAACTATGCCAGAATCTACTAGAGAGATACCAACCCCTCAGGGTACAATGATAACAACACCTAAATCTACCACAAATCTACTAACACCTGAATCTACCACAAACAATACAATACATGATTCTACTGCAAGGATTAATACAGACGGATCCTCCACAGGTATAACAACATCTGATTCAACACAATGGATAACAAACATAGAATCTACCGCAGCAACTACATTAACCGAGTCTTCCATAGAGATGACATCACTTGAAGCTACACCAATGATGACTGTGCAAGAAACTATGTCAACATTAGCAACACCTGAATCTAACTCTGGAACAAAAACAGCACCTGAATCTACTGTAGAAATATCATCAATTGAAACTACCACTGATATAACAAAACTTGACTCATCTATACAAACTGAATCTATTACAGGAATAACGACACTACCGCCCACCAGTCACATAACTATGCCAGAATCTACTACAGAGATACCAACACCTCAGGCTACAATGAGAACAACACATGAAGCTACCACGAATCTACTAACACCTGAATCTACCACAGACAATGCAATACATGATTCTACTGCAAGGATTAATACAGACGGATCCTCCACAGGTATAACAACATATGATTCAACACATTGGATAACAAACTTAGAATCTACCGCAGCAACTACATTAACCGAGTCTTCCATAGAGATGACATCACTTGAAGCTACACCAATGATGACTGTGCAAGAAACTATGTCAACATTAGCAACACCTGAATCTAACTCTGGAACAAAAACAGCACCTGAATCTACTGTAGAAATATCATCAATTGAAACTACCACTGATATAACAAAACTTGACTCATCTATACAAACTGAATCTATTACAGGAATAACGACACTACCGCCCACCAGTTATATAACTATGCCAGAATCTAATACAGAGATACCAACACCTCAGGCTACAATGACAACAACACCTGAAGCTACCACAAATCTACTAACACCTGAATCTACCACAAACAATGCAATACATGATTCTACTGCAAGGATAAACACAGACGGATCCTCCACAGGTATAACAACATATGATTCAACACAATGGATAACAAACTTAGAATCTACCGCAGCAACTACATTAACCGAGTCTTCCATAGAGATGACATCACTTGAAACTACACCAATTATGACTGTGCAAAAAACTATGTCAACATTAGCAACTCCTGAATCTAACTCTGGAACAAAAACAGCACCTGAATCTACTGTAGAAATATCATCAATTGAAACTACCACTGATATAACAAAACTTGACTCATCTATACAAACTGAATCTATTACAGGAATAACGACACTACCGCCCACCAGTCACATAACTATGCCAGAATCTAATACAGAGATACCAACACCTCAGGGTACAATGATAACAACACCTGAATCTACCACAAATCTACTAACACCTGAATCTACCACAAACAATACAATACATGATTCTACTGCAAGGATTAATACAGACGGATCCTCCACAGGTATAACAACATCTGATTCAACACAATGGATAACAAACTTAGAATCTACCGCAGCAACTACATTAACCGAGTCTTCCATAGAGATGACATCACTTGAAGCTACACCAATGATGACTGTGCAAGAAACTATGTCAACATTAGCAACTCCTGAATCTAACTCTGGAACAAAAACAGCACCTGAATCTACTGTAGAAATGTCATCAATTGAAACTACCACTGATATAACAAAACTTGACTCATCTATACAAACTGAATCTATTACAGGAATAACGGCACTACCGCCCACCAGTCACATAACTATGCCAGAATCTAATACAGAGATACCAACACCTCAGGCTACAATGACAACAACACCTGAAGCTACCATGAATCTACTAACACCTGAATCTACCACAAACAATGCAATACATGATTCTACTGCAAGGATAAATACAGACGGATCCTCCACAGGTATAACAACATATGATTCAACACAATGGATAACAAACTTAGAATCTACCGCAGCAACTACATTAACCGAGTCTTCCATAGAGATGACATCACTTGAAACTACACCAATGATGACTGTGCAAAAAACTATGTCAACATTAGCAACTCCTGAATCTAACTCTGGAACAAAAACAGCACCTGAATCTACTGTAGAAATATCATCAATTGAAACTACCACTGATATAACAAAACTTGACTCATCTATACAAACTGAATCTATTACAGGAATAACGACACTACCGCCCACCAGTCACATAACTATGCCAGAATCTAATACAGAGATACCAACACCTCAGGGTACAATGATAACAACACCTGAATCTACCACAAATCTACTAACACCTGAATCTACCACAAACAATACAATACATGATTCTACTGCAAGGATTAATACAGACGGATCCTCCACAGGTATAACAACATCTGATTCAACACAATGGATAACAAACTTAGAATCTACCGCAGCAACTACATTAACCGAGTCTTCCATAGAGATGACATCACTTGAAGCTACACCAATGATGACTGTGCAAGAAACTATGTCAACATTAGCAACTCCTGAATCTAACTCTGGAACAAAAACAGCACCTGAATCTACTGTAGAAATGTCATCAATTGAAACTACCACTGATATACAAAACTTGACTCATCTATACAACTGAATCTATTACAGGAATAACGGCACTACCGCCCACCAGTCACATAACTATGCCAGAATCTAATACAGAGATACCAACACCTCAGGCTACAATGACAACAACACCTGAAGCTACCATGAATCTACTAACACCTGAATCTACCACAAACAATGCAATACATGATTCTACTGCAAGGATAAATACAGACGGATCCTCCACAGGTATAACAACATATGATTCAACACAATGGATAACAAACTTAGAATCTACCGCAGCAACTACATTAACCGAGTCTTCCATAGAGATGACATCACTTGAAACTACACCAATGATGACTGTGCAAAAAACTATGTCAACATTAGCAACTCCTGAATCTAACTCTGGAACAAAAACAGCACCTGAATCTACTGTAGAAATATCATCAATTGAAACTACCACTGATATAACAAAACTTGACTCATCTATACAAACTGAATCTATTACAGGAATAACGACACTACCGCCCACCAGTCACATAACTATGCCAGAATCTAATACAGAGATACCAACACCTCAGGGTACAATGATAACAACACCTGAATCTACCACAAATCTACTAACACCTGAATCTACCACAAACAATACAATACATGATTCTACTGCAAGGATTAATACAGACGGATCCTCCACAGGTATAACAACATCTGATTCAACACAATGGATAACAAACTTAGAATCTACCGCAGCAACTACATTAACCGAGTCTTCCATAGAGATGACATCACTTGAAGCTACACCAATGATGACTGTGCAAGAAACTATGTCAACATTAGCAACTCCTGAATCTAACTCTGGAACAAAAACAGCACCTGAATCTACTGTAGAAATGTCATCAATTGAAACTACCACTGATATAACAAAACTTGACTCATCTATACAAACTGAATCTATTACAGGAATAACGGCACTACCGCCCACCAGTCACATAACTATGCCAGAATCTAATACAGAGATACCAACACCTCAGGCTACAATGACAACAACACCTGAAGCTACCATGAATCTACTAACACCTGAATCTACCACAAACAATGCAATACATGATTCTACTGCAAGGATAAATACAGACGGATCCTCCACAGGTATAACAACATATGATTCAACACAATGGATAACAAACTTAGAATCTACTGCAGCAACTACATTAACCGAGTCTTCCATAAAGATAACATCACTTGAAACTACACCAATGATGACTGTGCAAGAAACTATGTCAACATTAGCAACACCTAAATCTAACTCTGGAATAGAAACAACACCTGAATCTAGTGTAGAAATATCATCAATTGAAACTACCACTGATATAACAAAACTTGACTCATCTATACAAACTGAATCTATTACAGGAATAACGAACCTACTGCCCACCAGTCACATAACTATGCCAGAATCTACTAGAGAGATACCAACCCCTCAGGGTACAATGATAACAACACCTAAATCTACCACAAATCTACTAACACCTGAATCTACCACAAACAATACAATACATGATTCTACTGCAAGGATTAATACAGACGGATCCTCCACAGGTATAACAACATCTGATTCAACACAATGGATAACAAACTTAGAATCTACCGCAGCAACTACATTAACCGAGTCTTCCATAGAGATGACATCACTTGAAGCTACACCAATGATGACTGTGCAAGAAACTATGTCAACATTAGCAACTCCTGAATCTAACTCTGGAACAAAAACAGCACCTGAATCTACTGTAGAAATATCATCAATTGAAACTACCACTGATATAACAAAACTTGACTCATCTATACAAACTGAATCTATTACAGGAATAACGGCACTACCGCCCACCAGTCACATAACTATGCCAGAATCTAATACAGAGATACCAACACCTCAGGCTACAATGACAACAACACCTGAAGCTACCATGAATCTACTAACACCTGAATCTACCACAAACAATGCAATACATGATTCTACTGCAAGGATAAATACAGACGGATCCTCCACAGGTATAACAACATATGATTCAACACAATGGATAACAAACTTAGAATCTACTGCAGCAACTACATTAACCGAGTCTTCCATAAAGATAACATCACTTGAAACTACACCAATGATGACTGTGCAAGAAACTATGTCGACATTAGCAACACCTGAATCTAACACGGCAATAGAAACAGCACCTGAATCTACTGTAGAAATATCATCAATTGAAACTACCACTGATATAACATTACTTGACTCATCTATACAAACTGGATCTATTACAGGAATAACGACACTACCGCCCACCAGTAACAAAACTATGTCAGAATCTACTACAGAGATACCAACCCCTGAGGCTACAATGACAACAACACCTGAAGCTACCACAAATCTACTAACACCTAAATCTACCACAAACAATGCAATACATGATTCTACTGCAAGGATAAATACAGACGGATCTTCCACAGGAATAACAACATATGATTCAACACAATGGATAACAAACTTAGAATCTACCACATCAACTACATTAACCGAGTCTTCCTTAGATATGACATCACTTGAACTACACCAATGATGACTGTGCAAGAACTATGTTAACATTAGCAACACCTGAATCTAACACGGCAATAACAACAGCACCTGAATCTACAGTAGAAATATCATCAATTGAAGGTACCACTGATATAACAAAACTTGACTCATCTATACAAACTGGATCTATTACAGGAATAACGACACTACCACCCACCAGTCACATAGCTATGCCAGAATCTACTGCAGAGATACCAACACCTCAGGCTACAATGATATCAACACCTGAAGCTACCACGAATCTACTAACACCTGAATCTACCACAAACAATGCAATACATGATTCTACTGCAAGGATAAATACAGACGGATCCTCCACAGGTATAACAACATCTGATTTAACACGATGGATAACAAACTTAGAATCTACCGCAGCAACTACATTAACCGAGTCTTCCATAGAGATGACATCACTTGAAGCTACACCAATGATGACTGTGCAAGAAACTATGTCAACATTAGCAACTCCTGAATCTAACTCTGGAACAAAAACAGCACCTGAATCTACTGTAGAAATGTCATCAATTGAAACTACCACTGATATAACAAAACTTGACTCATCTATACAAACTGAATCTATTACAGGAATAACGACACTACCGCCCACCAGTTATATAACTATGCCAGAATCTAATACAGAGATACCAACACCTCAGGCTACAATGATAACAACACCTGAAGCTACCACAAATCTACTAACACCTCAATCTACCACAAACAATGCAATACATGATTCTACTGCAAGGATTAATACAGACGGATCATCCACAGGTATAACAACATCTGATTCAACACCATGGATAACAAACTTAGAATCTACCGCAGCAACTACATTAACCGAGTCTTCCATAGAGATGACATCACTTGAAGCTACACCAATGATGACTGTGCAAGAAACTATGTCAACATTAGCAACTCCTGAATCTAACTCTGGAACAAAAACAGCACCTGAATCTACTGTAGAAATGTCATCAATTGAAACTACCACTGATATAACAAAACTTGACTCATCTATACAAACTGAATCTATTACAGGAATAACGACACTACCGCCCACCAGTTATATAACTATGCCAGAATCTAATACAGAGATACCAACACCTCAGGCTACAATGATAACAACACCTGAAGCTACCACAAATCTACTAACACCTCAATCTACCACAAACAATGCAATACATGATTCTACTGCAAGGATTAATACAGACGGATCATCCACAGGTATAACAACATCTGATTCAACACCATGGATAACAAACTTAGAATCTACCGCAGCAACTACATTAACCGAGTCTTCCATAGAGATGACATCACTTGAAACTACACCAATGACGACTGTGCAAGAAACTATGTCGACATTAGCAACACCTGAATCTAACACGGCAATAGAAACAGCACCTGAATCTACAGTAGAAATATCATCAATTGAAGCTACCACTGATATAACAATACTTGACTCATCTATACAAAGTGAATCTATTACAGGAATAACGAACTTACTGCCCACCAGTCACATAACTATGCCAGAATCTAATACAGAGATACCAACACCTCAGGCTACAATGATAACAACACCTGAATCTACCACAAATCTACTAACACCTGAATCTACCACAAACAATGCAATACATGATTCTACTGCAAGGATAAGTACAGACGGATCTTCCACAGGTATAACAACATATGATTCAACACAATGGATAACAAACTTAGAATCTACCGCAGCAACTACATTAACCGAGTCTTCCATAGAGATGACATCACTTCAAACTACACCAATGATGACTGTGCAAGAAACTATGTCAACATTAGCAACACCTGAATCTAACTCTGGAACAAAAACAGTACCTGAATCTACTGTAGAAATATCATCAATTGAAACTACCACTGATATAACAAAACTTGACTCATCTATACAAACTGAATCTATTACAGGAATAACGACACTACCGCCCACCAGTCACATAACTATGCCAGAATCTAATACAGAGATACCAACACCTCAGGCTACAATGACAACAACACATGAAGCTACCACGAATCTACTAACACCTGAATCTACCACAAACAATGCAATACATGATTCTACTGCAAGGATAAGTACAGACGGATCTTCCACAGGTATAACAACATATGATTCAACACAATGGATAACAAACTTAGAATCTACCGCAGCAACTACATTAACCGAGTCTTCCATAGAGATGACATCACTTCAAACTACACCAATGATGACTGTGCAAGAAACTATGTCAACATTAGCAACACCTGAATCTAACTCTGGAATAAAAACAGCACCTGAATCTACTGTAGAAATATCATCAATTGAAACTACCACTGATATATAAAACTTGACTCATCTATACAAACTGAATCTATTACAGGAATAATGACACTACCACCCAGCAGTCACATA